AGAGGGTGGCACTCCCAGACAGGGCATGGAAGGTCCACACCCCTTTCCACATACCTTGCCCTAGGCATCTCTTCTGTTTATCTGTTCATGAGTTGGGTCTTTTATAATAAAGGGGAAATAGTAAGGAAAACACTTTCCTGAGTTCTGTGAACTGTTCTAGCAAAGTATTTAATCCTAGAAGGGGTCATGGGAACCCATGATTTCTGGCCAGTTGGTCAGAGATACAAGATACCTGGGACTTGCAATCGGCACCTAAAGTAGAGGGCAGTTTTGTGGGACTGAGCCTTAACCTGTGGGGTCTGTACCAACTCCAGGCAATTAGTGTCAGAATTCAGTTAGTGTCCACTGAGAATTAAGAGAAGTGCTGTATGTGGAAAACCTACACATGTGGTATCAGAAGTGTTGTGAATACAGAAACTGGGTGTAGAAGAAAACAAGAGGTTTTTCTTTTAGATGTGAACAACCTAAATATTCTTCAAAGAAGAATAACTGAACTACAATTGAGATAACTATGAAATTTTATGCACAGCCAAAAAAAAATGATTGAAGTAGATCTATATGTACTAATGTGGGACCAAGTTCCAAAATATGTTGTTGAAGGAAAAAAATAAAACAAGATGAGAAAGACATACCTGGTATGAAACTGTTTGTATTCCTTCAGAGGTCCATTCACAACCTTACTATATATTTTCTCCAGGTTCATATATATGCGTAGAGAAAGATATGAAAGAATAAACACACAATATTTAACAGTGATTACCACTGGAGAAGTAGAAGAAGGCATTGAAATTGAAAGTATGTTTTAAATAGGTCTCTAACCATATTGGTAATTAATTTATTATAAGGAGAAAGTAATGAAAATTTAATTTTAAAATGGAAAAAGCATATTCAAAGTCATGCAGATAAAGAGGATAGTCTAAGATAAACTAAGTAGTCTGACAAAACCAATCAACAAATAAAAAACTTTTTTTCCCCCTATTATATTGCATTTCATATTATCCTTTTAGGTCATGAGAAAAATATTTTGAAAGGAAGCTACAGTGTTTACATTGATTCCAAGTCTGGCAGTCATTTAGGAATTAGATTCTTGCTCAGTTATATATTTCTTTGTCTCTATCCTAAATTTCAGCTCTTAGCCTCTTAAAATAAATGTTAACCTTCTCAGTTTGGTTTTCTGCTTTGTCAGCATGTCGTTGGCTCATGTTCTACCTTAATAACAGTATACTATGGAAGGTTTCTGCTTTTATTATAAATGAAAATCTTTGTCTATATGACCTAAGCTGGTGTTCAGTTTCTTTCAGTTTAGTAATGCAGAATGCTGAATACTGAGTGTATGCTGACTTTGAAGAGTGACCAAAACTTTTTATGTTTGGATTTCTAGTTTGAAGCATAGTTAGAAGCCTGAACCCTCAAAGAACTGTATCATAGTATTTCCTGCATGACTCTAATATGGATTTTTAAAAAGTTATATCCCAAATATGATAAATCAAAAGAGTTTCCTGGTCTCTATTCAAAATGTAGCATTGTAACACTAGTTTTAAACTACGTTGTTGATTTTTTAGCATGTAATTTATTGACTATGTGACACAACATTGGGCAGCTGAAAAGGAGAGGATCAGGCACAACTTGGAGACCAGATGACCCATATGTTTGTGGTGTTTTGTTAGGGCACTTGGGACTTTTTGGAGAGAATACTTAACGACTGCTGAGTACATTGGATATAATTTAAAAGTTGGTTTGAAGTCCTTATAGTATTTTTTAATTCTGCCTTCCACTCAGACCTCATTATGTCATGAAGTAGGTAAGAGCAACAATAACCGCTCTTTCTTTCTCAATGATCAAAATACTTTCAAATGGGATTCAGGGTGAAACTGCTTTATATTAAACTCCTTTCTGTAGCTCATAGTGCCTTGGAGGAGCTTCAGTGTACTTTTCAGACAGGAGAAGTGATCACTACTGTACTATCCTGGGACTTCAGTCCAGCCTGTGACTTGGGGGTAGGTGATTGGCAATCTTCTGTATAGCTGGCTTTGAAAGACTATGGGTAGGAACTTCCCAGAAATGAGGAATAAGGAAATGTTGTAGTTAGCCTTCTAGACTTTCTTTTTAAAAACAGTGATAATACTTATTAACAATGCTTAATAAAGCTTAAAACTGCTAGCAACTGTGGAATAACTTAAGAATTAAAGGCACTTCTTAGGCACTCCATATTTCAAGATGAAGCTCATGTACATATCAGCCCAACTCTCCCTTTTCCTTATTTTAAACATTGGCCAAGATTATTCAGGGACTTTCTCCTTTTTCCTCTGATTATTGCACTAGGTTCCTTAAATACTACATGCTCGTTAGTTCACCCCAGAACTGACACCCATGCTTCTTACCTCATCTTCTGCCTCAGCTGCTCTTTCATCTGGATCATGATGGCATGTTACAGGGTTAATGCTGCATTGCTTGCTTTGTTTTTTTTTATTATTATATTTTAAAACCTGTTTTTGACAGTTTTGTTTTGTTTTTTTTTTTAAACATCTTTATTGGGGTATAATTGCTTTACAATGGTGCGTTAGTTTCTGCTTTATAACAAAGTGAATCAGTTATACATATACATATGTTCCCATATGTCCTCCCTCTTGCGTCTCCCTCCCCCCCACTCTCCCTATCCCACCCCTCCAGGCAGTCACAAAGCACCGAGCTAATATCCCTGTGCCTTGCGGCTGCTTCCCCCTAGCTATCTACCTTACTACGTTTGTTAGTGTGTATATGTCCATGACTCTCTCTCGCCCTGTCAAAGCTCACCCTTCCCCCTCCCCATATCCTCAAGTCCGTTCTCCAGTAGGTCTGCGTCTTTATTCCTGTCTTACCCCTAGGTTCTTCATGACATTTTTTTTCCCCTTAAATTCCATATATATGTGTTAGCATACGGTATTTGTCTTTTTCTTTCTGACTTACTTCACTCTGTATGACAGACTCTAGGTCTATCCATCTCATTACAAATAGCTCAATTTCATTTCTTTTTAAGGCTGAGTAATATTCCATTGTATATATGTGCCACATCTTCTTTATCCATTCATCCGATGATGGGCGCTTAGGTTGTTTCCATCTCCGGGCTATTGTAAATAGAGCTGCAATGAACATTTTGGTACATGACTCTTTTTGAATTTTGGTTTTCCCAGGGTATATGCCCAGTAGTGGGATTGCTGGGTCATATGGTAATTCTATTTGTAGTTTTTTAAGGAACCTCCATACTGTTCTCCATAGTGGCTGAACCAATTCACATTCCCACCAGCAGTGCAAGAGTGTTCCCTTTTCTCCACACCCTCTCCAGCATTTATTGTTTCTAGATTTTTTGATGATGGCCATTCTGACTGGTGTGAGATGATATCTCATTGTAGTTTTGATTTGTATTTCTCTAATGATTAATGATGTTGAGCATTCTTTCATGTGTTTGTTGGCATTCTGTATATCTTCTTTGGAGAAATGTCTATTTAGGTCTTCTGCCCATTTTTGGATTGGGTTGTTTGTTTTTTTGTTATTGAGCTACATGAGCTGCTTGTAAATTTTGGAGATTAATCTTTTGTCATTTGCTTCATTTGCAAATATTTTCTCCCATTCTGAGGGTTGTCTTTTGGTCTTGATTATGGTTTCCTTTGCTGTGCAAAAGCTTTGAAGTTTCATTAGGTCCCATTTGTTTATTTTTGTTTTTATTTCCATTACTCTAGGAGGTGGGTCAGAAAGGATCTTGCTGTGATTTATGTCATAGAGTGTTCTGCCTATGTTTTCCTCTAAGAGTTTGATAGTTTCTGGCCTTACATTTAGGTCTTTAATCCATTTTGAGCTTATTTTTGTGTATGGTGTTAGGGAGTGATCTAATCTCATACTTTTACATGTACCTGTCCAGTTTTCCCAGCACCATTTATTGAAGAGGCTGTCCTTTCTCCACTGTACATTCCTGCCACCTTTATCAAAGATAAGGTGTCCATATGTGCGTGGGTTTATCTCTGGGCTTTCTATCCTGTTCGCTTGCTTTGTTTGAAAGACTCCTTGATCATATTCATCAAAATATTCCCATGGTATTTTTAAGCAGTTAAAGAACTTTTGCCTTGGAAGATGGTAATTTGGAGAACTGCCCTCTCATTCTCACATTGATATATCATGTAAAATTTCCCATTGTGAGAGGCTCACTCAGGCCTGGTGTTGGGCTGGCCATGTAGGATTTTATATGGATTTATTTAATCCATAAGATTGGATCCTTGCTATTTTACATGCCAACGCATTTTGGCATTCAGTTCAATTCTATCCCCAAGAAATAGCTTAGCCTAGGGTACTTCTGAAAATTGCTAAGGAAGGGATGGATCTAGGCAAGGGTCAAAACCTGTGGGATAAGATTTTGTAATATAATGAGCATTATATGTGTAACCAGGGCACTTGAGTGATTCAACAGTACTACCCATTGAAAGAAGAAATATGTTCATAAGTAGGTGAAAGTTTTTAATTCATAGAGAAGGGTGAAAAAGAGGATTGTGAAGGAAGATGAAAAGGAAAGGACATATGTTTGTTCTAGTAGAGAGGGGAGTCGGCAGTGTAAACAAAATTTCAGTAGTCCCTTCTTACCATGGTTACTTCTACTTTGAAGTACAATCCCCACCTTCCCTACTTTATTACTTTTTTCTCCTTTTCTGCCCCCCACCTTTTTAATTTTTAAATTAATTTCCTCTTTTCTGGGCTTCCCTCTCCAGCCCTCAGTGTGCCAGTCCTCTCCATAATTGGTTATTATCCCACGTGGATGCAGTCCTGCCATGAATGCTCATGGCTTTTTTGGCTGCTCTGCCTGCCCCTCACCAAGTGAGGACAGAGGGTCTTTCTCTGGGGTGTGCTTGAATATGTGCTGAGCTGGCCTGCCCTGGCTCTTCTTCTAATACATATTAATGCTTTTTTCTTCCTGACGTATGAATACACGATCATTTGATCATTTGTTGTTTTCAATGTTCTTTTTGTGCTGACAGAGAAAGAGATGACTTAATGTCTGCACTAGTTTCCGTGAGGAGCAGCTTGACAGAGGTGCAGCAAAGAGAAGTAAGTGCTTATGAGCAGGTGAAACAAGCTGTGCAAATGACTGAGGAGGCCAACTTTGAGAAAACCAAGGCAAGTCTAATAACATAAAGGCATGCCATAATTGCCTTTTTTTTTCTTTTCTGAGTATTTGTTTGGTTATTCTCCATAGCTAAACTGTTTTTTTCCAAACACACAAAGTAAATACCAGTTTGTTAATGTTGACTTTCTAAATTAAACAGATTTGCTCTTTGGAGAATTCTTATTCCCCTGCAAATTCTCTTGCTGTATCACTATTGAAAGAATAGTATTATGATGTGATACAGTACTTTGAGAGACTTGTATGCTTAATCTTTTTATTTGCCGATAACTTTTAATGCGAAGTGAAACTATTAACACCCATAGTCACCCATTTGTGTATGCTCATGTATGTGAAGACAGATGTTTTTCCTCTATACCTGGGAAAGTTTGAGAACATCCAGATATGCCACAATAATAATATATGTGTATTTAATAGCATCTTTAGCTATGAGTCTGTATCCATTGTGTGCTTAAGTCAAACGCATTTAATGATAATGATAATGATAATGACAGTAATAGTTAACACTTAGTGATCAGGCAGTGTTCTAAGCACTTTGAATAGTAGGAGGTTACTGATGATTCATTTCTGTGTTTGGGGGCCACACCTTAAGCCATTAAAGTTGCTATGTATTTTCCCTAAACACACTAGCCACGCTTCAAGTACTTAGTAGCCACATGTAGCTAGTGATTACTGTATTGGTCAGTGCAGATATCGAACATGTCCATTATCACAAAAAATGCTTTAGGTAGCATTGGCCTGAGCCATATAGTAGCATCACTATTTTATTAAACTATTGGGCTAATCACCTTTATATTAAGCTTCTCCTCAGTCATTGCCTTACCCGTTTATCTCTATCCAGACCATCTTTAACTCTTCCTAGACCATTTGACCCTCATAATGCCCCTATGCCTTTTGAAACTTATGTTCATTCTGACCAAATGCCCTAACATATTTTGCTTCCTCAAACACTCTTACATCTTCATTTGGACTGACTCTAGCTGTCCCTTGCTGATGTTATGACCCTCAAAACCTCCAGTGAAGCCCTTTGCTGTTCATTTTATCTCATGTGACTGTGATGGAGGGGTCAGCATTCATATCACCCCATACTGCTGTTTCCAGGCCTTTGCTTTCGTACCTACTAACTCGTCTTTGAAATTAGTTTACCATTTCTCTTTGAAATCATCGTTGATTCTCCTCCCCCTAATTTTAATCAATATAAACTCTCAATCTGGAAGACACTATTTGACATTTTTTTTTAAAGAAAATCATCCATCACTTGGGTTTATAAAATAGTTGTAAGATCTTTGACACCTTTTAAGAGCTTTAGCCTCTGACACTTTTCCCCCTTGTCTATGTCCTTTCAGGCTGCTATAACAAAGACACCTTAGACAGGGTGGCTTAAACAACAAACATTTATTTCTCATAGTTCTGGGAAGTGCAAGATCAAGGCACCAGCAGATTTGGTGTTTGGTGAGAGCTCACTTTCTGGTTCATAAACAGCTCTCTTCTCACTCTGTCTTCACATGGTGGAAGGGGCAAGGGAACTCTTTGAAGTCTATTTTATAAGGGCACTAATCCCATTCATGAGGGCTCCACCTTCATGACCTAATCACCTCCCATAGGGCCCACCATCTAATTCCATCATATTGGGGGTTAGATTTCTACATGTGACTTCTGGAGAGGCACAAACATTCAGTCCATAGCACCCTCTACTTTATCTCTTTTCATCATTCTGAAAGGTTTCCACATCCATACTGTTAACATATGCAACATCTTAGTCCCGACACACTTTGCTTTCCTTAACTCTAACATTTTCTATGTTCTTCTGTAACTCCCACGTGAACTGAAGGGTCCACGAGATCTCAAACTCAAACTGATCTCTCTGACCAGAGCCTTTTCTCTTCCTCCCTATCTCAGTTAAATCTACTCAGTGTCCTCATAACTGCCTCCAGTTCTTCTGCCTCCTTTCATATCTCATTTTATCTATTATCTTCAGGCTGTTCCTCTTCCCTTTCCATTTAGATGTGCATTTTATGATCTCAAACTAAATTCATTATATTCACTTCATCAAAACAGCTGTGTTCTCTACTCGCTGAATGGCACTTTTGTCCACTGTCATGCCCTGATTGGGAACTGGATGTCATCCTCTCCTTTGGCTTCCAACCAATCACTAAATAGGAGTTTTAATCCCTGAAGTTTGCTTGAATTCTTTCCTCACTGTCACCTTTCTTGTTCAGGATACCATAATCTCTGGATTCATGAATTATAACATCCCTTGTCTCTTTTCCTTCACTCTGTTCCCTACAATGCAGCTAGAAGTGATCTTTCTTCAAAGCAGATTTTATCATGTGACTCTCTGATTTAAAATCCATCAGTGGTTTCCTACTGCCTTCAGGGTAATCTCCAAACTACATGCTTATGAGGTCTGTCCTAATGTGCTTCCTTTCGACCCTTTAGTGCCACTTTTTACTCTCCTCCAACAGACTCAGCCCCTGTCAGCTTGGAAAGGCAGTAGAATTTAGAGGTTGAGCATGGTCTTAGTAGAGTTAGCGAGACCTAGATTCAACTTCCAGCTCCACCATTCACCAGCTGTGTGACCTTGGGCAAGTTATTTAATTCTCTGTGCCTCAGTTTCTCTTCATCTGTGAAATGGAAATAATATCTGACACATAGGATTTTAATGAGGACTGTATTTTAAAATTTACATCTGTTATCTTATAGAAACTCTGGCACAAAATATTTCTTCAATAAGTAGTTGTGGTGATGGTGATGGCTATTAATCCCTGTGTTTATGCCATGCTTTTTCTAGCCTCTGGGTCTCTGTACATGCCATGCAAATTCTTCTCCACACCATTGCTTGGATATTTTCTTCATCCTTCATGCCACTGTCTCTAGAAAATCTATGATCTCCCATGTCTAGATTTGATATACCTCTTATGTACTTTTAGAGCAGGGTTTCTCAACCTTGGCATGGCTGACATTTTGATGTACATAATTCTTTGTTTTAGAGATTGTCCTCCATGCTATAGGATATTTAGCAGCATCCCTGGCCTCTACCCACTAGATTCCAGTAGCACATCCCTCTCCCCCAAGTTCTGATAACCAAAGATATCTCCAGACACTGCCAAATGACCCTGAGGGGGGTGGTGCAGAATTGCCCCCAGTTGAGAACTACTCATTACAGCATTTATCAAAATGTATTATTATTGGTTATTTGTCTGTATCTTTCATTAAACTTTAAACTCCTTGGCAGGAAGTAACTTGTCCATCTTGTCACTATTAAATCTCTAGTATCTTACATAGTGTTTGGTAAGTAATAGGTACTCAGTAAATATCCGCTAAGGGAATTGCAGTGTGCTCTCAGTAACACTCTAGAATTCTGTTATTCTTACCTTTCCAATTTAACTACTTTACCAGTGCCACGTGAAAGTTAAGTCAAATCAAATCATACATGTTTTTCCTGTCATTTTCAGCCTATCAAGTGTTACTGAGGGAAGCCATGTAAGAAAGCAACAGAATGAATTCCACAGGAGAGTAATACCGGTCATGTTCAGTGTATAAGTACTGTTTAGCAATTCTTTTCCTTGCAGTTGACTACCACATATACTTTTCTACTTTTATTTTATTTTATATTTTTTAACATCTTTATTGGAGTATAATTGCTTTACAATGGTGTGTTAGTTTCTGCTTTATAACAAAGTGAATCAGCTATACATATACATATATCCCCATATCTCCTCCCTCTTGGGCCTCCCTCCGACCCTCCCTATCCCACCCCGCTAGGTGGTCACAAAGTATCGAGCTGATCTCCGTGTGCTATGTGGCTGCTTCCCACTAGCTAGCTATTTTACGTTTGGTAGTATATATAAGTCCATGCTACTCTCTCACTTCGTCCCAGCTTACCCTTCCCCCTCTCCATGTCCTCAATCCATTCTCTATGTCTGTGTCTTTATTCCTGTCCTGCCCATAGGTTCTTCAGAAGCTTTTTTTTTAGATTCCATATATATGTGTTAGCATACGGTATTTGTATTTCTCTTTCTGACTTACTTCACTCTGTATGACAGACTCTCCGGCCATCCACCTCACTACAAATAACTCAATTTTGTTTCTTTTTGTGGCTGAGTAATATTTCATTGTATATATGTGCCACATCTTCTTTATCCATTCATCTGTCGATGGACACTTAGGTTGCTTCCATGTCCTGACTATTGTAAATAGAGCTGCAATGAACATTGTGGTATGTGACTCTTTTTGAATTATGGTTTTCTCAGGGTATATGCCCGGTAGTGGGATTGCTGAGTCATATGGTAATTCTATTTTTAGTTTTTTAAGGAATCTTCATACAGTTCTCCATACTAGCTGTATCAATTTACATTCCCACCAACAGTGCAAGAGGGTTCCCTTTTCTCCACACCCTCTCCAGCATTTATTGTTTGTAAATTTTTTGATGATGGCCATTCTGACTAGTGTGAGGTGATACCTCATTGTAGTTTTGATTTCCATTTCTCTAATGATTAGTGATGTTGAGCATCCTTTGATGTGTTTGTTGGCTATCTGTGTATCTTCTTTGGAGAAATGCCCATTTTTGGATTGGGTTGTTTGTTTTTTTTGATATTGAGCTACATGAGCTGCTTGTAAATTTTGGAGATTAATCCTTTGTAAGTTGCTTCATTTGCAAATATTTTCTCTCATTCTGAGGGTTGTCTTTTCCTCTTCTTTATGGTTTCCTCTGCTGTGCAAAAGCTTTTAAGTTTCATTAGGTCCCATTTGTGTATTTTTATTTCCATTACTCTAGGAGGTGGGTCAAAAAGGATCTTGCTGTGATTTATGTCATAGAGTGTTCTGCCTATGTTTTCCTCTAAGAGTTTGATGGTGTCTGGCCTTACATTTAGGTCTTTAATCCATTTTGAGCTTATTTTTGTGTATGGTGTTACAGAGTGTTCTAATTTCATTCTTTTACATGTAGCTGTCCAGTTTTCCCAGCACCACTTATTGAAGAAGCTGTCTCTTC